CCACGTGTCTGTGTAACTGCAGCTGATCCCAATGTCAGTGATCCCAGGAAAGCAGGGAAAGGCATGAAAAAGATTAAATATGGATAAGCTGCAGGTGAATCCTGAACACACACAACTCCAGTGTGGGTAAGACTGGACATTTAAAAGCAAGCATTATTATTATTATTGATATTGTTCGTTATGGAGCTCTTTTCAGTATGAACAAAAAATGAAAGGCAGCACAAACCTGTGTCACATCCCTCTCATTTGCACGTCTTCTGTAACCTGGATGAGCTCCCCATGGAGCTTCTGCAGGCCAGCCCAAACTAATCTGCATGGATCCAAACAGCCTGTTCATTTCTGTGGGTAAGAAGACTGAACGTGGCATTTCTGGATCTTACTAAGCTTTTCTTTTTAGGCTTAAACACAGGAAAGACTTCAAACCTAATTTCTCAGCCTATCGTGCAAATATTATTCCGAATCTTGCAGGATCATAACTGTTTGTATGAAGCTTTCCAGCTGTTTTCTGTTGATAAAAGACTTTAGCTGGGCACCAGGAGATAAGACTGTGGGACTGAGAAATTGCTGACTTAGTCTTGTAATCTTCCCACACTGCATTCCCATAGGGAAGTTATGGATAGGTGTAACTCTGTACAAGTTAATGCTCTAATCCTTGAATCCCATTCAATGGCTCAGCCACTGAATTTGATGGAAATTCTGGGCACCTGACACGTGACAGGATTGTTTGGAGGGAGACTTCCAGCTCCTGGCAGATGTCAGTGCAGAGCTCACACTGATCAGCTGTTCCTCTGAATTTGAGAATGTCGTGTTCTGAGAGCAAACCTGGCTGGAAACTCGGGGACACCCTTTGGAAGGACTCTGAACCTCAGGATGCATGTGGGGAAAAGTGTCAGGATCAAATGTGATTTATGGCATCAAAGCCTTCCTGTGGCATTGCCAGCAGGGATGGCTCTGGAGTTTGGGATGGCCTAGAGCTCATGATCTTTGTTTCCAAACTGTCCATCCCTCTGCTGGGATAAAGGCCTGTCTTGATGTTCCAGATAACTCTCATTATATAGACAGAGAGAGAAAATTTAAACAGATCCATTGAAAATGGAAAATCAGTTAGACAAATGGAAAAAATGCTTACAGATGGTTTAGGAACACCTCAAATCCCACATGGTGCAGTGAGTGCTAAGTCAGCCAGCAATATTTTATGAATGAGAATTCTAATAAGGAGGGGAAAATGGTTAAAATTTGCCCTGGAGCAACTGTGACTTCCACACCTCTTTTTCTTTTTTGTTCATAAACACCTCTGTCTCCTGCAAAAATACTTGTGAAGATGCTTTTTGATACGGTTTGCTAAGTTTTGTTGCTTGACTTCATTGTTCCTGCAAATCAGCAAATGAATTCCATTTGCAGCTCCCTTTTTTTTTTCTGAGACAAGGAATGTTGCTGCCAGGTTGCTGCTCCTCACACAGCACTGGAGCCTCTGCCTTGCAGGAACACACGAGTGCAGGATCCCTGAGGACAGAGCTCGGAGGGCCAGACTGTGACAGGTACCTTGTAGAGCTGATCCATGTAAGAACTGGAGACACATTCACCCAACAATCATTCTCTTCCTTTCACTGTAGCTGTCCTGTGGCTGATTTATACCCAACACAGCAGGTAGGGCTCTCCCAGAGGGATTTGAGCCAGATCATCCCAGTTTGATGCTGATGGAAGACAAAACTGGCTGTTTCAAGTCGGATTTTTTTCCTGCAGTTGGGAAGAAGAGAAGGGGTTTTCCTCACCTTTGTTTGCTTGTTTATGCAGAAGTTTGTGATTTCTTCATATTCCACACCGTAGAGGACAGTGCTGATGTGAAACACAGAGAAAATAAGAAGCCTAGAGTAGAAAAAGCCTAAAACTCAGAGAAGGCTTTGGAGCTGCTGAGAAAATGAGAGGTGACACGAGATCAGGAAGGAAAGGGGAAGGTTATGTCATTAGAGACTGGAATTCAATGTTTTGATGAAACTCCATGGATACAGGAAGGAGCAGGGCGGGTAAAAATAGCTAAATGAAAATGGTATGAGTTCCAAGAATTCAACTCTGAAAAGAAAGAAAGAAAGAAATATATGTTGTTGCTTAAGACCAGGCAGAAGAAGTTACGTGTTTTTATGAAGATTAGAAAGAATGAAGAGAAAGGAAAGGGGCAAAATTTGCTGACTGCAATTTCTTTATTTTTTTTTCCCTCCGGCCAAAACTTGGCATTTGGTGTCATGACACACATTTCATCCCAATGCTCAGTGGGTTGGTTCCCAGGGGAGAGGACACTCTGTCAGGAAAGTCATCTCATCCAAAGCCCTTGGATGCTGCTCAGACCAGAGGGTTCTTGAGCTGGGCACATGCTGATGCCCACAGACCCAAAATCCTCTCCCTGACTGACACAAACACTGATCACTGTAGGAGGGGAAGGCCATCACAGAGAGAACACCTCCCATCTGCACAGAGCCAGCAAGCAACTACCTCGAAGCCTCTGGTTTTTTGTACGGAATTGTTTGTGCTCACCCACCTCCCCCCCCCTTGGAGATCCACATCTTATCTACAGAACAGAAAGCTCTTACTACAAGAAAAAGAAAGAAAGAAAATCAACCCATTTGCTCCCTTTGATTTTGGTTTTGTTAATTTCTGAACAGATGGTTACACACCACAATGGAAGTTTTATAAAAATTTCCATCTTTTAACTGAGTGCAGGCCTGAAATTTTTCCCTGGTGAAAAAGCAGAGCGTGAGTCATTAACCAGGCTCTGTGTGTCTGCCTGGGATTTTCACTCACTGCAGGCAGAAGAGTCAGAAAGCCCTTCCATTACAGTAACTGCCTTTTTTCCCCCCTCCACCTGGGCAAAAGGCCAATTCCATCATCTCAGCATGAACAAGGAAGGTACAGTCTGAGGAGGGATGGAGTGCACAGACAGGGGGAGAGGCCTTGCTGAGGCCAAGAGTCCAGTCCTGGAGCTTCAACAATTGTCAGAAGGAGTGGCCTGTTAGGATTTCTCCACTCCAGTCTGAATTCACTAATTGCACAGTTCTGGCCTGGGTTTACAAGTGAGAGGTTCTGCTGCCTGCAGAGTGCTCAGCACCTACTGAGTCTTGGCCCCAAATTATCGTTGTGGAGATAGAGAGCCTAAACTTAATCTTTGTTTGGACTCCACTGGAAATCTGGCACTGATTGCTGTGGGACAAACAAGGCCCAGAGATGCTGAGTGTTCTTTTCTGCAGGTCTAGTGATGTGACCTTGGACAGCCAGAGGACTTCAAGCTCCAGTCTCCAGCACTGCTCATCTTAGTGAAGTTACAGAACTTTGCTGGGGTGGGGGGAAGTAAAAGAGATTTTTACCTTGGGATGGATGGATGGATGGATGGATATATCAACTTTCGAGGCCTCTGTCATTCAGGAAAAGATGAGTTAATTATTCTCAGTCTGTGTGACACTTAATGACACGTAGAAAAGAGGTGAATGGCATCTTGTTGCATGGCAAGGGTAACACAGAACACAATTTCCCCTGAAGAAATAGCTCACATACCTTATATAATGAATGAGCTCATTTTGCCTGTGTTTGCCAGAAACAATAAAAGTTAGAAAATGTCCCAGTAATTAGAATAAAGTGTTACCCAGATTTATGGTGAGAAATGTGAAATGTCAGGCAATTGAGTGCAGCTCCACACTCACAAATAAGCTTCACATTCATTAGAACAGGTTGCATTCATTAGGAGGAACAGTGTGGGTCCAGTGCTGGCCCCAGAAGGCAGGGAATGGTTTCTCCTGTGCAGGGAAGGAAAGCAGAGGGGAGGGCAAGGTGCCAGCTGGCACATTCCCTGATGGATCCTGGTCCTGGTGGTAATGCTGCAGCTTGCACAGCACAGACACCATCATTGCTTCAAGATGGGCCTGGGGTTACGGGAGGGGTGGGAGGGAGAAGGGGGAGAGCACCACTCCCAGCCTGCCACGTGCAGGGCACAGAGCTGGTCAGACACTTGGGAAGGGTGGAGATGGAAAAGGGGATCTGAGCCAGCCTTCCCTGCAGGCCTCCCTCTCACAGTCACTGGCCACTCCTTCAGCACAAGTGCTGTGCCCACGTACACCTAGCACAGAGGTGTATAAATCTGAGCTCATCTCTTGCCTCATTACTCTGCACCCCGTTCTTGTGTCAGAGGAGCACAGAATGAAGTGGGTTTAACCTCCAGAAGTGCTGTGCATACAGACACAGGGGATATTGAAAGTGTAGGGGTGGCGGAAGCAGAAGTGACACTCCCTGAAAGTCCAGGGTCAGCTCATTTGGGCACTGAAACATCCCCACTGCCCCTGCCTGTGGAGCTGGAGGAGGGCAGGCCATGGGAATGTCCTTCTGATGGGACACGGGGAGGGGACACTGAGAACCTGCTGCCCCTTGTGCTCCTCTCTTTTGACACAGCTACTTAAAAACTGAGGAACTGAAATGAGAGTGCTTTACGTAAAAACTAGTCTGAAGCTGCCTAGGAATGAGAATGTTCAGTGTCTTTTTCCTGAAGAAGAGAACCAGACACTTCAGTGAGTACGAGTCTTGTGGGGGACCTTCAGTGCCTTCTGCTACCAGACTGCAGGAGTGTGAAGTGGCTGATTCAAAACAGCCTGTCTTGCCCACTGGAGTATGGGACAGGTCTTATGGACAAACCAAAACTCAAACAAACCCCAAACCCCCTCTGTCTTTCAGTGTTGGATTCTCTTCTTGCATAAATTTGATTTGGGTGTAGTTCTAGGAATACCAGTAGAGTTTTGTAAGGAAAAACCCCAGTTATTAAGTTAAAAGCAGTTGCTTTTAACTTGGTAAAATATTTGGACTGTGATAAAGATCTGCAGGGTGGCCTTAAGCCAGTTGTACATCCTCTCTGTTCTGCAGTTCCACATCTGTAAAATGACAGAATGAATTTGTTTCGTTTTCATTACAAGCTTGTAGGAAAAATCTCATTATGCTAATGAGGTGTGCTTGTGCTTTAATCACAGGTTCATTCAGAAAGCCCATAAATGAAATAAATATGAGATCAACGCAGAAGAATCTGTGAGAAAGGAGTAGAAATCCCAGATTTTCAGGACAGCACATCCCAAATGACTGAAGGGATGATGCCAGTAGTGATCTCCAGAGAGCCCTGGTGCTCTGGGGGTTATTTGTGGCAGACACAGGTCCCCACAGCAACCCCGAGCTCACCTGTCAGCCCAGCAGACAGGATTGCTGCACAGAGCTCAGCAGTGTCAGACCATGGGGCTCATTCCCTGCTGAGATTGTGGATCTTAAGCTGCTGCAAAGTCCCAAAGGACGTGAGAACAGAGAGCAGGAGCAGAGCCTTGGGGATAACCCAGCGATGAGAGGCTTTCCAGCAAAGGGGCACTTAAACACATCAACATGATTTGTAAATGTGGGTCCCATGAGGTGAGAAATGATCTCAGAGAGGTTACAGCAGGGATGTGAGAATTCCCTGGAGTCTGTGAGAGGCTACTGGGGAAGGGAATGTTGGGCCTTACAGCTGCACGTGGGTTCCAGGTGAAGTGGGAGCTGTTTCCAGGGAAAGGCTTTGTCCTGGTGTTCCTGTCCCGTCCTCTGCTGGATGTGGATGCTCTGCCTTGTTTGCAGTGTGGGAAATGAGACATTCGGTGTTGATACAACTGGCACAAAGTCTGTGCAGCCCTGGGTCCCTGCAGGCCTGTTCTGAGGGCTCCTCTGGGAATCCCAGGAGTTCCAGCTTTATTCCCCTCTCTGACTCGGACTTTTCCCAGTAAATTAATTTTTTTATTGGCGGTACCAAGCATGGTTTTTTGATTTTATTTTTTTTTTCCCAGTGAGGTGTTTGGCAGCATCCACTGGGACATGTAGGTGCAGAGTGTGTGGGAGGGAGGGGCAGCCCTGAGCAACATACCAGGCAACTTGGGACGAAAGAATTCCAGGAGATGGAGAGCTCTTTCATGTGCTTTTAACAACCCCTCACCCCCTGTATTTGCTAGGATGCCTGATGATTTCCTGCAAACTAAATGTGAATTTTAGGTGAGACCAAGCCATGGTTGAAGCAGGTCCTGTGTCTGTTATGTATATTCACTGTGGAGGTTCTGTACTTTGGAAAGGTATAAAAGATACATTGTGGGGCTGGGCTGGACAGAAGCAAGAATTGGGGAAGGGTTAAGAAAATATTGATGAATTCTGAATCTCTTCTTAGTGGTGAATATAGTAAAATAAAATGAGTTAGCTGAACCAAAGCCATAAAATACAGCCTGGCTGTCACTGCTGACATGTCCCAGCCACCTCAGGAGATCTTTGCCCCTGAAAGGTGTGCTGTTTAAAAAAAAAAAAAAAAAAAAGAATATTTTTGTTGACACGAGTCCATTTCTGACCTTCTCAGACAGTGAAAATTTTTGTTTGGTTCATCTTAAGTAAGACCGATTCGTAATTTTTTTTTCTTGTGACTTTTTAGATGTTTTAAATTCACATATTTTGGTACCTATCTCAGAGAAATACGTACCAAAAAAAAAAAAAAAAAGTGGTCTCTTTAAAAAGAAACGTTTCCAAATTTGTTATGGTCAAAAAGATAAGTTGGTTCCCGTTGGTGAAATAATTTTCTGTAAGTGGAATCTACGTGAAATGTTTGATTGAAAAAGATCACCTGACTCTCAGATGATCCTTTTCAACAGAGAGTTTGAAACCTTGTTCCACAGGTTCGGGATAGTTTGGCATTCCCCAGCTTCACTGTCAATGAACTGATCAATGAAAACGATGACCTTGATAAATGATAACCTCTAAAGGAAAAGAGGGAAGGAAATATCCTGGTCATCCAGGAATGGTTTAGTTCAGTCTCAGTCACAGTCAGGACCAAGTGTGTGTGCCACAGCCATGGAGAAGCTGGATACTGGCTGCTCCAAGGAATGTACAGTCTGATGGGAGCTGCAGCAGGAATTCTGACGTGTGGCATTCGCACCCACGCTCCCCCTTCCCTCCTCACAACCTGCACAATAGGCCCTTCCCAAACGTTCTGTCACAGAGCTGCAATCTGCAGCACAGCCCTCGATAATCCCCAGCTCCTCCTGAGCAGGCAGGCTCTGGAAACCAGGGAGGGCTGGGGGGAATCCACTTGGAATATGCTTTTCCTACGTCTGTGTAAACACACACACAAATAACGCCCTCAGCCTGGGCAGGGTGGGGAAGGTGGGACAGGGTGCTGGGGAGAGGCACCGAGTTCTGCGAGGGAAGGCGCTGGGGAGGGAAGAGAATTGCCTGTTAAATATGGAAAATGGAGTCTGCTTTTTGTTCGGGGCCTTTGGAATCTGTGGGTGGATTGGAACTGGCAGGCAGGGAGCAAACACCCACCCACCATAGGGCTGTGTGGTTCAGAAGTTTACAAGAGTGTTTGTGTTCCAGGAGCTGTTGGCCTTGAAGCCAATGGAGAGGGGGAGGAGAAGAGGGAGAGAGTGAGAAAAACACTGTGGTGTTAGGGCCCTTCCTTGGAGATATTCTCCCCCTCTCCTTTCTCCAGCTAGAGGGCTTTGGAACTGGAGCAAGACAAACAGTTACTGGGGGAAAGATTAATGTGATTTTAAGATGTGCAGTGCTCCTAGTCCATCATGGGGAGGCTGAGACCTCAGAAGGCACTGCCACCTTAATCCCACATGACAGCTCCCATCGCTCCCCCTGCTCCTGCCTCAGTTCCGAGGAGTCTGGGGGATGTAAGGACGGGCAGGTTTTGCTCTGTTGTTCCTGCAGGAGGGAGGGTTGGTTCCTGTCCCATCATGGATCTCGGTGCAGGAGCTGCCACTCTCGTTGCTCACCGTCTGGGGATTGCAGAGACAGAAACTGAGGCACAGAGAGACTGAACAACTTGCCCAAGGCAACAGGAAGTCTGTGGGAGATCTGGGAATAGACCCCAGATGTCCTGAGTTTTCTGTCTTAACCACAAGCCCATCCTTCCTGTCTTTTTGGTAGTCCCCTCTGCTTCAGGAATTCCGTTTATGAATTCCACCCATAAACAATCTGTTGCACGATCCAGTGATTTACTTGCATTAAAAAGTCATTTGGAAGAGAACATGGCACCTCTCTTAAAATGAGCTACAGCAGCTACTGCTGTCCTTTCTTTCTAAGGGGTAAAGAAGAGGGAGTGAAAAAACCCAGCTTCCAGAGCTGAGAAGTTTCCAAACATCCTGCAAGCAATAGTTTGGTTCTTTAAAAGAACCAGGGACTCCATAAGTGATGTTTGAGTATATCTGGCCCTTTATTTTTTAGTGGATTAAAAAAAAAAAGTCTGCAACTGCATTAAATCCATCTAGGGAATGATCCTGCTGCTGCTCACCACTGTGTTGGGTGTCTTTGATGACAGTCTGGTCGACTGCCACATCCCTGCTGGAATTCACTGGGTGTTTGGTGCTTCTCCCTTGTCATAGTCAGAACCTCTCTAAGACAGGACTGAATGGTGGGAAGGGTTTTCATTCTAATAAAACACATCCTTCAGTTTGGAAATGATGCAATGGATAGATGTCTCTCCCCCATATTATCAAAGGTACCAACACGTAGTTTTTGAAGAATATTATTAAAAAGTTATTCTTAACTAAAGCCTTTAAATTAAGGTTACTCAGTGAAGAATATTCCTAGTCCTGCTTTCTCTTAATGTGGTAACTTCTTTAGCATCAGGAATCAACAGGGACTGGATGGCCTAGACAGTTAGATCATGGCTTTAGACCTTGGTATTGTGGTAATATCTAACAATTCCACTTGTGGATCACTAAATCCATGTGCATTGTAGAAATAGAGGGGTCCTTCTTGCCACCAACGACTTTCTGTTCATTCTGTTCACAATTTGGTGAAGATTCTCCAAGTGTCTTCTCTGAGCACATGAAGACACAACTGCTGACTTGGCCCAACGTGTTTGGTTCCTACCTTCTCTGAGCCCCTTCAATACTTCAAGGCTTGATGGCCAAGTTGGGTATGTGGGAGTGGGTTCCTCCCTGGGGAAATCCTGGCTCACAGGCAAGATGGAAGCTCTTATGCAACTCTGACACCTTTGTCCTTTACTCTGAATTGGGATTTCAGAATCTAAAAGTACAGATTAAACAGGAGAGCTCGGTGTGTTCCCTGCCCCATTACACTGACAGTGAATCACAGTGGTGGTGTTTGCTCATTGCTCTCCTCCTCCTTTGTCCTGATGTGTTTTCTCTCTGTTACCCTGCCCTGGGGAAGTGTTCCAGAGGAGACTGTCTGAGGGCTTGGTGTCTGTGTCACAGGTTCTATAGATGAGCAGTGCTTCAAGTCACTGCTGCATTACAAACAGTACTAACAATTGTCCTGGTGTGAAAGTGCTCTCCAGCCCTTTTTGGCACACGAATCTGACAGAGCTCAGAGATAACAGCTGAAACCTTTTCAGCTTGTTCCTCATGGTGGTGCTTAGCGCTGGTTGAAATGTTTGTTAGAATTCTGGGGGTGCAGCCCCTGGCAAAAAGGGAGAAGCCACAGTTTTTTGCTTTGACATTTGACATTGATAGAAAGTAAGAGCATCCCACTGCTGATCTGGATAATAAATCCATAATGGACTTGGCAGTGCTGCTGGGCAGGGGTGTAGATACCAGTGGGCAGTGGGTGTCCATGCCCTGGCCAGAGGTGTCCGTGCCCTGGTCAGAGGTGTCTGTGTGTCTGTGCCCTGGTCAGAGGTGTCCGTGCCCTGGTCAGAGGTGTCTGTGTGTCCGTGCCCTGGTCAGAGGTGTCCGTGTGTCCGTGCCCTGGTCAGAGGTGTCCGTGTGTCCGTGCCCCGCTCTCTCGGCGCTGAGCCGGTCGGTCGGTAGAGGGAGCCCGGCCCCGGAGTGTGGCGGGACGGGGGGGGAGGCCGGTGCCCCCGGACAGACCGACAGACGGAGCCGGACAGACGGGACAGACCCGCACTGACCCGGACGGCCCCGGCGCCTCGGGCTGGGCTCGAGGAACCGACCCCAAGTGCCCGCCCCTGGCTCAGGCTCCCGCGGGGCTCTGCCCACTCAGCTCTGCCCACCCAGCCACGCGTGAACGAGCCTGTGACGTGTGTGAGAGCGGGGGGCACATGTGTGTGAGAGCGGGGGGCACATG